TCACAAAGAAACAGAGAAATATCCATGCTCATCAAGGGTGCAGACATTAGCCTTGGATGACTACCTTTCCAGAGGGTTTATACATCTTCTTTCCTACTTTTAATAAAACTTGAATCACACAACAAACATAACCCTGTAACTTGTTTTTATTTTACTGAATCATCTAGGCTTAACATCCATCCTTAATAGGATTGTTTTTTTTCTTACACAGACATAGAAAACCAAAGGAAATAAATGCCTAACTTAACAAATAATAACAACCAAATATCCTTGGAAATACTAGTCAAGAATGGACACTCCCAAGTCACGCTACAGCCCTCCACACATGCATCTTAACAACCACCCCATGTCTAACTTCTACTTTATCCAATTTTAAAAGCTTTTTTTTTTTTTTTTTTTTTTTTTTTTTTCACCAAAGGTGAATCCCTGGGCCTTAAAGTTTATTCACTGAAAACAATCTGATACATAGGTTTTGAAGGGATCAAAACCCAGGGACTCCTGCATGCTAGGCAGACACTCTCATTATTAGAGGTGTCCCCATCCTCTAATACATCATTTACTTAAAAAATCAAGTTATGTTTTTGTACATACGTAGTTATGTGCATGTATGTGTTATGTGTGTGGGTGTTTGTGCCAGAGTGTGCATGTGGTCAGAAGAAACCTGTGGGAGTCAGTTCTCAGCATGTATCAGCTTAGTGTGTCTTTAGGTTGTATTGCGTTAGGAAGTTTTATTTTAAATGATGTTATTTGAGTTCCATAAATGGCTAAGTGGTTTTTGGCTTGCAATTGGGACACTTTCTTAAGTGGCCTTTAACCCTGCTTCTGCTGTTTTGTACCTTCATATCTATGTGAAACGGCTTTCTCAGCACAGATGGCGGGCGGCACACTCTGAAAAACACCGAATAGCAAATATTCAGCCAGGACTGAGGTTTCGCTCTGTAGACAAGGCTGGCTTCAAAATCACAGAGACCCATGTGCCGCTGCCTCCAGAGTCTGGGATTAAAGGCATGCACCACCACAGCCCTGCAGGATTGAGCTCTCTATAGTATCCTTAGCATGGCAATTCACTTTTATCTTTAATAAGCAGTACAATTATAGGTATATCAAAGAACTGTTTTAAAGTAAATTTATGCTTTACAACCAGTAAATTTGTACACTTATTTTACACACCTGTACATGTGGAGTTGCATAAAAATGTTTTAAGCATATGTTCAAAAAGCTTAAGATGTCCCTCTTTGGAGCTTTTGGTGAATAATGTTAGATTTAAAATGGGAACAGAGTAAATGTGCTTAAATCCAACACTATTCTTCTTCATATATATTAATGCACACATGTAACACTGTATAAGTCTAACTCTCACAAAATCATCTCCTTTTAGGAAAGTCAGTGTGGATGGTTGAGTGACTTTGAAGAAGAAACTGTTCTCTGAATAATGGCATCCTTGCAATTGCGATAGGAAGTTTGAAATTGTCCTTAAAGATAATGTGTTATTTGAAAGTTGAATATGGTGCTAGAAAAATGGTGTGTCATTAGAACTCTATTAAGGATGGATACTCTTTCTCGTTTTTTTTTTCCCCCTTAAGGCCAAATGACTGCATCATGGAATTGTGGCACTTGACCCGAACATAGCATTAGGCTTTTCCAGACCTAATATCTTACTAAGCTGTCATTGGGAAGTGATGTCCCAAGAAAGGTCATACCCATAGCACAGGGACCTGAAGCAGCCAGCTGTATAGCACAGTGTCCTGCTGAGGGACATGACATGTTCCCTTCTTCTAAATAAGGTTATGAAGTTCATAAATGTGCATACATTTTTTTAAACATTTTAGTTAACTTACTTTGGAGATAGGGTTTCACTATCTAACTCTGAGTGGCCCGGAACTCACAGAGATCTTCCTTCTTCTGCCTCCCGAGTGTAGGGTCAAATGCCTGTGCCACTACACCCAGCTTCACAAAAATTTAAATTCACTGATGTCTCAACGACCCAACTCTCATCTGCAGTACTTTTACGACTATGGTTTTGCCAGTGATGTCTACTCTAGGGGAATGGACCCCTCGAGCAACTTCGCAACTGAAGCCTCTTCCATCAACACCATCCTGAAAATTGGATGATGCCTGCCTGACAGGTTATGAATTTCCCAGGATTCCCTCCTTGTGCCTGACTGACCATCAAAACCAGGAGCTTGCTGGGGGCTGAATTTGTGGCTACATCAAAGCATCTGGCTGCACTTCCTGTCGACTCCATCAGTGGTCCATGCGCCTTTGCTCTTTCAGGTCTCACTGATAATGGCGCATGGCCACGGAAGCTCTGATGGCTCTTACCTGGCTTATGGTGCTCATGGCTCGCATGTAGCTCTCATTTCTGGAGCGGAACTTTGGTGACGTGAGCAAGCCTGCAGGGTCAAGGCTGTCCAGGCTTCTGTTGATGGAGACTTCACTTACTGCCCTCAGGTAACTGTGACTCCGGATCTGGAGCTTGGGTGAGTGTTCATTGGAGATCCTGGAAGAGAACAACGAAGGGTTTGGTGAGCGTTCACTGGAGGCCCTGGGAGAGTCATAGTCCATGGGGGCAGTGATAAGCTGTGATGGCTGGCCTTGGTGCAGCACCCTAAACATCAGGACAAACAGTACGGACTTCTCTGATTGCTAAAATCTCGTATGGAAGATCAGGAGAATAACCTCTTCTTTTAGTTTCTCTTCTTGTTTTCTTTTTAGTTAATATTAGTTTCATAATAATAATTTCATATGCATACATAGAGGTCAGGGTGCATTTTTCTTTCTGTCTGAGACAGGGTTTCTCTGTGTGGCCTTGGCTGTCTTGGAACTCACTCTGTAGACCAGGCTGGCCTCAAACCTCACAGAGATCCACCTGCCTCTGGCTCCCGAGTGCTGGGATTAAAGGCATGCACCACCACCACAGTCTGGCTAGTGCATGTGTTTAATATATGATGACAATAGAGATACCTGACATAACCATAATCTCAAATATCTGTCTTTCTTTGTTCTGGGAACATTCACAAAGTCCCCTCACGATTTCAAATGTACATTTTCTTGTTGTCATCCAGAAGCACCTGGTTATCCCACAGGACATTAGAAGTTATTCTTCCTATTTAGTCACACATATATGTATGACTTAGCCATCCTGTCTTTATTCCCTACCCACTGCCCCCAGGCCTCTGGCATACTTCTACGAAGTTGACTTTCTAGGCATCCGCACACAAGTGAGAGCAATCAGGGTTTGTCTTTCTGTCTCTGACTTCTTTTACTTTAACGTAACACCCACAAATGATACTCTACAGTTCCTCTGCAATAGCTGACTAATATTCCATTGTGTATATCCACTGTGTTTTCTTTATCAATTCTTCAATTTATGAACTGATGTCTAGGTTGATTCTATATGTTTGCTAATTTGAATAATGCTGCAATAAGTATTAGAATGTTGATGTCCCCTCAACGTACCCATTTTATTTTCTTTGTATTTACATAACCAGTGGTGGAATTTGGCAGCTTTATTGCTACTATATTGAGGGGCTACCATATTCTGTGATGGCTGTATGCCTTTAGAGTCTCACCAACAGGTTTTCATAAAATGAATTATTCTTCCCCCCTCTTAAAACAGGGTAAAATGAAGCTCAGGTTGGCTCCTAAATTGCCATGTAGTTCAGGCTAGCCTTTAACTCATGATCCTCCAGTCTCCGTACCCCAAATGCTAAGATTACAGACGTGTCACCACACCTGGCTTAGAAGGAAGTACTGTTTCAGGAAATCATGAAGGTTTGATGACCTTAAAAAAAATTAAAACTCTCCTTAACCATTAAGAATTCCCCTCAGGCACCCTGAGGAAGTAGAAAACAGCAGTGAGTGATCTGTTTCAGAAATCTGTGCTTGGTAATGTCTAAGATCTTCCTTTGTATGTATTCATTTCCATTTTTTTTGTCTTTTCATATTAGTAACAGCAAGTAGGTTTGTATCTACCCCTGTCTATACATTAACGAGTCTCTCACTCAATAAATCAATTATGTATCTAACTTTCAGTTCTCTCATATAATTGAGATTGAACTTAATGAAAAGACAAAAACAAAAACTATGAGTGCATAAAGTATGAAACTCTTGTTGGAAAAGCCAAGCTAGAGATGGGGAGATGGCTCAGTTGGTCAAGCGTTGTGCCCAGAGTTTGGATCTCTAGACCCCACATAAAACCTAGGCATGATTGGTAGTACCAGAAGGTGCCATGTTGGAGAAAACTTATTAATGAACTTACCCAGCAGTGAACCTTGCACATTACTGTGCTGACTTTGCCAGACAAGATGTGCCTACTACTACAACAGTGGCTGGCTGTTATGGAGGCAACAGACCGCTTTCTGATTGGCTTTGAGGACTGCTGCCCAGTAGGAAACCATACATGGTATAATGAACTTGGCCAATAATCCATGGCTGGGGAGGCCATAGACCCTGGGGGCAGGTTTCTCACAGCTGTTGTTTCACTAAGGGGACATGTTGTCAATTAGCCTTCTAAATATTTTGTTTATACCCATAGAGTGATGTTGCTCTTGACTTGAGTCAGGGAAACGTCTTTGTGCAGTGGGAAGCTCTTGACGCAGAGACTCTTGTCAAAGGAGAATGCTCAGCCCTAAATGGGACATTCGTGCCACACCCTTCCAGATTCAGTGAGCACTGTGGAAGAGGAGGTGTGGAAAGAATGTGTGACCTGGAGGATGGGAAGGAAGGCTATGGCATGTTGTGTTCCACACATGACATAGCAGCAGCGTTCACGCACTCAGAGAGGTCGTGATTACCTGTACAGACCTAAAAAAAAAATAATCAAGTCAGTGAACATTCTAGTACAGATGGGGGAGGGCCCAGGAGTCACTATGCCTAGCCTGGGAGCTATGGGCAGTTTATGAGTGCTGGGACACGGGGAACCCTTTTACTTTAGCAGTGTAGCTGCTGGCCGGTTGACCATGTTCCATCGGGTGGCCTCACCCACATAAGCATTCAGATTAGTGGAGATCAACTATTCACTCTAGCATGGTAAGTAAAAGACCCAGAGACTGATACTGGGGGTCAAGCTTCAAGCTGAAGATCAGAAAAGCAAAGCAGCTGGGCACTGGCTTTCACTCTACCTCAGACTGGAAGGGGATCCTGGCTCCACCAAACCTCAGATTGAAATCCCACACTGCTATGCTCTCCTCAGTGTGGCTGGAGAATGAATGTCTGATACTGTCAACTACTGAAGACCCTGTTCCTGTCTTATATACCTCTCTAATGCTAGGATTAAAGACATGTATCCCAAGTGCAGAGATCCTGTTTTGTGTGAGCTGCTTCTCTTTAGGACTAGATCAATCTTGTGTAGACCTGGGTGGCCTTGAACTCAGATGTCCGTCTACCTCTTAATCTTGAGTCCTAGGAATAAAGGTGTGTACCACCACTGCCTGATCTCTATATCTTGAAGCTTACTTTGCTTTCAGAATCCTCAGGCAAGCTTTAATAAATCATAAATAATATGTCACCACACTTTACTAGTGACATTAGAGCAGCTGAACATTCAGTTTTGGGGAAACACATTATTGCTATCCATGCAGATTAAAAATCAGAATTTTAGAAGCATATTAAGTGTATTTAACAATGAATACAAATCATATTTAGTCAAACTCTGGACAAAGGCTATCTAGAGCTCACTGTATGAAAATAAATATGAAAGTTCATGGAAAAATAAGTTTATATGCTTCCAGGCACCTGACAAGGTATGCAGTCTCACGTGAAACCAGAGAATTGTTGATTAAAAAAAATGACAAATATTTTCAAAGCACATCCCTGCACACCCATGGGAAGTGAGGATATTCCAAATGTCCTTTAAGTGACAATGTATGAGATCACACCCATTCATAAAGGTTATTTAATAAAAGCTGAAAAACATATTCTGGGTAATATTGAAACCTCAGGGTTTGACTAGCAGCTGTTTTATTTATCATTTGTACAGACAGAGAAATGAAAACAGATTTAGCACAGAATGTCTGAGGGAAACTTTGTATTTTTAATGTCTGAAGGAAACTTTGTATTTTATTACTGTAAAAAAAGGGAACAATTGTTCTAGAAACCTGTCCAATGGATTATCTGGGCTGCTCTGAATCATGAAGAGTCCTCTGTTAGGGCAAGCGAATATTTTCTATGTGTTAATGCTGTTCTGCTGACCCATACTCGGCCACTTTGCCTTGCCAGGAATTCTACCCAACCAGCAAACTTCAATTCATTTTCTTAACAAACAAACAAACAAACAAGAACAACAACAACAACAAAAAACTATGTTAAGCATTTATAAACCAAATCTCACTTCTGCTCAGAACCTGATGACAAATGCATTTCTTTGGCTGTTTTGCAAAATGACCCTGAGCAATGACACCTCCAACATAAATGATGATTTCATTGTGTATGGTCACCAGAGCAGTAATGGGAGGGGCTGCTTCCATAAACAGAAGAAACAAAAGTCCAGTGTTTGAAAAATTAGCATCTGTTGGCCGAGAAGCGGAAATGAGGCATCGTTGTGACTATCAATCATTCCGGCTACGTGTTATAAAATAAGGCATCATTCCGAAAATTTCCCAGTGGAAAAACAAGACAAAACAAAACAAAACATAGAGAAGGAACTAAATAGCTGTGTCCTGGTGAGTCGTTTCTGATGAAATCAACCAATGCATACCTTAGCAACCCACCATGCAGGAGGAAGTGAACTTTATCTTATCTAGAGGGTGGAGGATGCAGCTTTGCTCACAGAGAGGACAGCCTGGACCTGCACTTCTGGTGCAGAAGAACCCGGTAAGAAATGCCAACACATAGTATGCTCATTGCCCGCCCCCATGACAGTGGATCTTCTCTGAAGGGAGGTGTGTGCAATCAGAAATGTCAGAGATGGCGATTACTTCTCAGTGTTGACCTCTTGTGATGAGGTCAGTCTTTTCCTGAACCCCTCCCCCCGCCAGACTTATCTTTCTGAAGTTCATAAAAACTCAAGTAGGACTTGGCCTTGCTGGGCCAGAGACTCCCTATTCACTATTCACTATCGCATCCCTAAGTGCAGCCATTTAAGGTACAGCCCTTTGGGGCTGTGATTGCAAAGGAGATGTGAGATGATTCAGACCATGAAGTTTCAAACCAATGCCTCAAGAAAGAAAATCACCAGTCTAGTAATATAGAGGTAAGAATACAACCAGATGATTGGTGATGATTCCATTGTGTCTAATGAGAGACTCAGGGAGGGAATGGGTCCCCTTACTGGTCCATCTGAGCCTCATGCTTTTATCCTTTTGTTCATTTTCATCTTGCCTTGACTCTGACTCCTACAATGTCTTGTACAGAAAGCGATTCCACATGACACAGAGGCCACGTCTGGCTTTGTTCTCTTCTGAAAATGAAGATATTTGATCTTGGCCGCGGCACCCTTATCAAAGTTTGCTCGCAAACATTCTTGGCTTGAATGGGGGCTTTGATTCCTTGGGCTTTAGG